GTATTTAGTGAATAAAATCCAAGGATGTCTTCTGCTTGTTTAATCGAGCACAATGGTTCTCAAAGTGTGGTCCCTGGACCAGCACATCAGCATCACCTGGGAACTTGTCAGAAATTCAGAATCTCAGGCCCCACCTTGGACCTGCTGAATCAGAAACTGAGGTTAAGTTTAGCTGGAATCCTTGTTTTAACAAGCCTCCTAGGTGACAGGGATGTTTGAGGATGCTTAATGTTTGAGGAGCACTGGTCTAGCATTTACCAAGTTTTCAGTAAATTCTTATTTATTTGAAAATATTCACATTCTCCCTCATACATGTCTTTAGAGTTTGACTTCTCCTCTGCATCCCTCCCAGTGCTCTTATACAGACTAAAACTTCTTACTTGATCTCCCCTTCCACTATTTTAGACATTTACTCATACATCCACTTAATAAAAATGTATCAAGTGCCTACCATGTGCTAGGTACTGAGTTAGATACTGGAGATACATCAAAAATAGAAAGAACAAGATTCTGAAACACATGGAATCACATCCTATTTGGGGAGCTCAACAATAAACAGTCAGCCAAATTATCTTATATATTAATAGGAACTATAAAGGAAATAGATTGGCATGATAGTCATTAGGGACATGTTAGCTGAGCTGCTCAAGCAAGGGTTCCCTAAGCTGAGGTCTGAAGGGTAAGAAGGAGCCAGCCTTTCAAACAGTTGGAAACAGGCAGAAGAAATAATAATAAGTAGCATTTACGGAGTTTTACCAAGAGCCAGGTATAGTTGTAAAACTTTAACATATATTAACTCTTTAATTCCTAACAACAATCATATAGGGCAGATAATTTCAATATTCCCATTTTATAAGTGAGCAAACTGAAACACAGAGGTTGGACACTTTACAAAGGTCATATGGCTCCCAGGATTCAGTGTGGAATGAGATTAGAAGGATGGATAGGGTCTCACTTACCAAAATGAGAACTTTGAATTTCATTCCAAATAGCATTGAAGCCTTTAAGGATCCGCTAGGGTACTGACCTAGTCTGATTTACACAGGGATTGCAGAAGAGCCAGGTGGGAGCAAGAACACAATGGTCGTTATTACCATGGACCAGGTGAGAAACAATGGTGGCTTGGCCAAGAGTAGTAGCCATGAAGATGGAGTGATGTGAATGGAAGTAAGATCTAGTTCTTGGACAGAAACAACAGGTTTGGTGACTGATTAAATGGGAGTAAAAGGCAAAGGAATGAGTCATCGATGACTCCGAGGTTTTGGGCTAGAGCAACTGGTCAAACATTGCTACCATTTTCAGTGATGGCAAGACCAGAAGGAAAGGCTTTATTTCAGTGGGAAAAATGAAGGGTTCCATGTTGGTCAGTTTGTGCTTTGAGATGCTTTTTAAACATGCAAGCAGAGCTATCAAGAAGCTAGTCGGATAAAAATAAGCTGGAGCTCAAGAAAGTGATTAAGGCAGAAAATAAAGTTCTTGGTGTCCATTGATGGTGTTTTATAGCATAGGGTTTCTTTGAATACCCCAGAGAAAGAGTGTGGATAGAAAAGAGAGGAAGATTCAGAACTGCACCCTGGACGCTCCTGGGCACATTCAGAGGTTGGATAAAGGAGCCTCCTGTCATTAGCTCTGGCTTCAACTAGTGTAGGCAGACTACGACTTCAGTGGAGTGCCCTTGGTCTAGGTACTTCCTGCACTGAACTCTCTATTCCAGCCAACTGAATCCCGTTATTTGAATATGTCCTTTACTGTGGTGTATCTAATCCCTTGTTCAGATTCTACTTCTTCTGAGAAGCCTTTCTGACATCTCCTTACTTGTCCCCTACAACCCCAATCTGGACACTGTCACCACTATACCCCACAGCACATTGAACATTTTAATGTGATAACACTTATCACATGTTGCCTAATTTTAGTTCTTTGCCTTCTGTATCAGACTCTGACTCCTTAAAAGCCAGGGCTATTCCATTCATTTTCATACGCAGCACTTGCATTCTGCTGAGAGGTTCTCAATAAATATCTATTGAATGAATGATTGAAATTCCCCAGACCTGGTATCCAATTAGTATTAGATATGCTCCCAATCCATAGCTTTTCTCCCAACAAGGATTCCAGGAAAAAGAATAATGTGATTAGCTATGAAGCAAAATTAGGTCAGGAAGGGGTGGTTTCTAGAGTCTTTACTAAATTCACAGTAATCCTAATGGTAATAATAATAAATAAACACCACCTTGTATTGAATATTTACCACATGCTCTAGGCACTGCTCTAAGTTTGTGTGTTACTCATAAACTAATTCGTAAATTAAAACCTTAGAATTTCTCATCTAACACTACCTGGGCAAAGCATTTATCTACCTTTTTCCTAAATTTTTCTTCTGAATTTTTTTCTTAAAATTTATCATCTTTTTAAATGTAAAGATCTTCAAAACTTAAATTTCTTGTATCCCCCACAAATGCTTAGCACTTTGCTCTCCACTAAATGCCAAATAAATATTTGTTCACTTGATTTAGTAATGATACCTGATACATATGCAAAACAACCTCAGTCCTTTTTCAAATAAAGAACTTCTAATTCCAACCATGGCTTTTTAAAATTATTTTTCTGAAATAGCTTAGAAAGCACAGGGGTAGTTCAAGAAAAGTGTGAAGTAAAAATTTGATGCCAATAGCTTTCCATGGCTTATCAGTATAGTTTTCTGATGTCATAATTCTTTTTGTTCTTAATACCTATTTGTTGAATATTAGGCCGTATGCATGCCAAGACATGTGGTATATGCTGGTAATATTCAGACAAATTGGAAGCAGGCTTTGTTTTTTTGAAGGATTATCTTAGAAATGACCCATAGCCATTATCTACCTAAGTGTCTTTTGTGTCCTAGTTAAATAGCTAATGAAGATGCTTGTATAGCTAGTAGGAGAATATACATTCCACGTTCCACACCGTTTGCAAATATTGGTGCAAATAGCTATCTCTACTGTTATAAAGTCTATAAAATGCTAATATGTCCAGTGAATCACCTATGGCATGTTAACATTTCCCATAGTTAGTTGGCCATAAATCTTTTTTCTCCTTTAGACACCTTACAAATGTTTATTAGAATACAATTTGGAAAATTTGTGGTATTTAGGTTGTGAAGATGCAAAACTCATACATACTATTTTTCAGTCGTTGTTGTGGAAAAGCAAAAGTGTTATGAGAAAATGTCTGTGAAGGTTAAAACAACCCACAAGGCCAGTTGTCTTATTTTTAATGTGAGGTCATTTAGGCCTGAGTAAATAAGCAGAAGCTCTTAATAAAGAGCTTTATACATAAAGTACTGCATACCTCTATTTCATTGCTGAGGTTTTCACTCTCTCTTGGCCCAAGACAGAAGTCTACAAATTTTCTAGTCTCCAAATTTTCCAGACTGGCACTGAAGCCCATCTGCAGTATGGCCCTTGTGGATCTCACTGTCCTGTCACATTTATCCCACCTTCCAGGCAAACTAGACACATTGCCATGTTCTGAACGTACCTGGGCTTTCTGCAGTCTTCCTTTTGTTCTTCTTCTTTCTGTTGCCTGGAAATCCACTTATTCATCTCCCCAAGTTGATGTTGGACCATTTGTTAATTTGATATGTAGTTACTGTGTTCCATGTGAGGAACTAATTATGGTTGTAGTATTAGAGAAAGATACTCAGGATATTTTGTTTTTCCTTTAGTTGAACATGAACCCTCCATGCTGTTAACTATTTTAGAGTATCTTTCCATGCCTGGGTGGTGTTCCAGTTAACTGTGCTTGTCTCTTATGTCCTACTAGACTAAGTGTGTTGCAAGAATGCCATAGCTGTTGTAGCCCGAGCAGAGCCTAAATCAGCTTCTGGCCCTTACTCAGTGCTGAAGAATCTGTCAAGATGAATGGAGTGCCTAGATGTCCCATGGGTATTTGTAGAATCAGAGCTCAAAAACTCTGGCTCCCAGACTCCACTAACCAAAAATAATTGCGTTTGGCTACTCGGGAATTCCATGTAGTTAGACAGATAAGGTTTCCCAGACAGAACCCACCTAAAGCTCCCCTGCAGAATGGGCTTGCTTGAGGACCAGCTTCATCCAGAGTCGGAGAGGCAAGCTGGAGACCCTCCCTCCCACTCTCACCCACTCTTTCCCAACATAGTCAGGAAGCAATGTGAAAGTTGACTAATTAAACTGACAATCTTCTCGACTTTTATTAAGCAAATACTGTTCAAAACCAAATTGAAGGCTGAGTTTCTTTTAAGAAATTTTCAAAATGCAAACGTTTTACTGGAAATACCATTAACTAAAATGTCTGATTTGACTTAAAGGCCCTGACCATACTTTGAGTTATAAAAAGATTGACCCCAGTGTGTTTTCAAGTGCCTTCAATCTAAATATAAGCTAAGGTATGCGTGTTACATCAGCAACATTTGACGCACCTGTGTTTAGAGGGCGAGCTCATCATTCCAGATGTGGTACGCGTGCCCCATTGTGCTTTCCTAATTCTTCTTGGGCCTTCTGAAATATATAATTAACAAATCAAAGGCAAAACCATAATCAGCATTGAAGAGGTGGGAGAAGTAAACCAGGTGGTTCTCAGATCTTTTACTTTGTGTGCTTGTTGTCAGTCTTTTATTGCTGCTTCTTTAAGTGGAATGAGAATTTGGACAAGAAAGAATGAAGTGAGTAAAAATTGAACAGCTTTCCAACGGGGCCTGTCTCAGTCGTTTGATAGCTGTAGGACTGTGAGAACCAAGGTGGGGTACCATACCGCCCATTGTGTCACAGTAGTCACCAAGAGTTTGGTTTTTTATGCCATACATTTTATTTTGGTAAGAGAAAAATGTCAAAAAGAAACAATTAATTACTAAGCTTGGCATGCAAAAAGCAATAGTAATATTAATACTTGCCTCCAGAAGCAGTATTTAACCTATGTTGATGAGCTTGCATGAAATTACTTTCTGACCTCTTAAAGTCCATCTTTTTTAAAAATTCTCTTTATAGGTAAAGATAAGATTGAAGTGTCTGAGGATGACTTGAAGAAACTCCCTCTAATTCAATGGTGTGTTTTGGAAACGATTCGTTTAAGAGCTCCTGGTGTCATTGCTAGAAAAGTGCTGAAGCCAGTTAAAATTTTGGTGAGCTTTGGTTTGATTTTAAAAGAATCAACCTGCTAGAAAAAAATACATATTTTGCCCATATATTATTTGATAATTCCTCAAGTTCCATTAAGCAGTAAGTGACCCTGGAACAGATTACTACCAAGAAATGCTCAGCAACATATTATTAGTATAGATATTTATTAGTTGGTGAATGTTTTAACTAAAACATAATTCTGTAATAATCATTTTGCCTATGTGATTTTGTATCAGAATTAGTAAAATGCTATTTAAATCAAGCAGGTAGATCAAACATCTCTCCTCTTCTGACCCACCCAGCAAGTATTTCTGAGCAGCAAGAGGCTGAAGAATGCAGGGTATGAGGAAAGTTCTTTTGGATAACCAGAAGACAGTCTCAGGCCACAAGTTGCAGATATGGGAACAGATAGCAGGAGTGCCATGGGTGATAGCAACTGATATTAGCAATCAACAGCTGAGTGAGGGAAAGGGATCCTTTCTGTGGCAAGGTGGCAGAAAATTCTCAAGTGCTCTATGAAAGGTATGTGCAAATGGCCAACTTTCAATTCAATATTCTGTAAATCAGGCAGAACAAAATATTTTTTACAGAATGATTTGACTTAACGGTCTGCATTATCCAGATAGATCATATTTAGTCAGCCCTCCACTCTCATTAGCTTTCCTTATACACATTGAGAGTGCCTGGATATAAACCAAGAAAAATGTGTAGTAGTAGAACACTAAAGATAAAAAAAAATAAATTTTATAAAAGTTGCAACTTGCTAAATCCAAAGGAGACATAGTTTATTTAACTGATTTACATCTATTATATGTAACACTTACTGAACTGATCTTACATAAATTATAGCAGTTAGTTTTAGTGGGATTTTAACAGTTTTTGCTTTTAAAACATCAAATTATTAATTCCTTTAAACTCTGAGTATAAAAGGCTGTGCTTTGAGAGGAAACAGACAACTTGGTGCAGTTGAGTAGAGCAATGTGTTTATTACTCAGAATATTGCTATAATTTTTATTGAATTTTTATTAGGCCTTATTTCTATTCTGGCTAATAGATAATTAGTTGAATTATAGAATAGTTATTTATCTGCCTGTGGGTATCTTGATTATTATTTTAAGCATACAAATCCTGTATATGTTTTGTTAGATTTATACCTAAATGTTTCAGTTATTTTGCAGCTTTTGTAAATGACATTTAAAAAAATTTTTTAATCTCTCTTCCTTCTGCCTTCCTCTCTCCCCCATCCCTTCTTCCTTTCTTCCTTCCATCCTTCCTTCCTTTTCTTTGTAGCACATTTATTTTCTTATGAAAGATGGTAAAGAAAAAATCAGCAATATGATTTCCCTCCTTTTCTCCCTTAATTCTTTCCTTTTTTTCTCATTTCCTTTTTCTTCGGGGTTTTTTTTTTTTACCCTGAAATCCTTCTCCTTTAAAGTTCCCATTTCATCTCTGCAAATTATGCCCGTGACCAAAACAGGAAGAAAAAACATAGGGATCCTCCTATACACCTTGTAGATATTTTTTTCCTGTTGCTTCCGCATGCGTTTTCTCTCTCTTGAGTTCCAATGTGGTTTATGTGGCTTTAGCCCACTCGGTCCTGGACTTCTCTGACTTGTTGTGCTATTTCATTAGCTGAATATATGAGATTATCACAGGATAATTTTATAATAACATTTTTTTAATTTGTCACAAACATTTTCTTCCCAGACCCAAACCAAAAACCTTTAGGCACAGGCCACCGCCCAGTCAATATGATGCACTTCTGAAATTGTGTTCTGTTTGGCTTCTGCTACCCTAACCTTCAGTATTGTTATGCTGTTCATTTATCTTTTTTTTTTGCTTTTTTTGCCCCAGTTCCAGCAGAGGTAGAATGAACAGACAGGATTGGGATTTCACAGGTCTCTTTCTACTTTAAAAATGGTAAGGGGGCACCAGCAAAGTGTCACTCTTTTCCCAGTTTTGGATCTGACTCTCCAGCAATCGTGGTACTGAAATTGTCAAACTCAAGCATTATTCAGCCCCTTTGAAACCAACAGAGGTTCTCCTGGGTTAAAAAAATGATGACCCTTCCACTCCCTGCAACCATAAAAGACATATTTTGAATTGTAAGGTGCTAATGTCCTATAAACACAAACTTAAAGTAGGTGTTTGCAAATATCTTGAGGACATTTCCGAATCATGCAGGGTTCAATTGATGTGGCTTCCAACTTTGGCAATGGAAGGTCCTAATAACATGTCTTCACCCTAGTAAAGTTGGTAGCTATTTAGTGATTATATACTGTGGGAGAGCTCCTTGTTCTAGGTTCCTGAACATGGTGATGCAAGGGTGATTTTATAAAATGGTTTTTAGTTCTTGGCATAGTTTCTATATCATGAACACCTATTATAGCATGAATGGAGGAGGATCTTGCAGATTCTGCTACTTGAAGCAACACTGCTTTTGCTCAGTCCCCTAACCACCGTGACCTCAAACACAAAACCAATTAGATAAATGCACAGCACTTGCTTTGTCCTGTGTGTCACTAATCAGTTGTCTTCATACTCTTTCTGCCCTAACAGCTGCTGCTGGAGTGAAAATAAAAATGCACTACCCTGCCCTGACATTATCGTGAGTGTCCCCAGGGATGGACACCCACTGCCCCTGTCCTCAGTGCTACTGTGGCCAGTGTCACACCTCAGAGTTAAACTTTGCTCTTCCACAACCTGGCGATCCACTGTGGTTCCACCGTCAAGAAAACTTGCTGCAAACTCCAATATCGAACATCAAAAGCTGCAATAGAGAGAACTTATTCTAGTTTCTCAATTTTTCACATTTCTCTAATATTTTCTTCTGTGTAACCAAATATATATATGTATATATGTGTAACTAATCATCAGAATTGAGACCAGTCATTTGAAAATAGAAATGGTCATCCAAGGCAAAAGTTAGATTTTCTAATGATTTATGATAAAGTGAAGATGTGTTCTCCACAATATAGTTGCAGCATTATTTTTATTTAATGACCCAAACTCTCTTTAAAGTAGATTTCAAAAAATGACCTTGAACCATTTTTTTTTTAATCATAGAATTACACTGTTCCTCCTGGTGACTTGTTGATGTTGTCTCCGTTTTGGCTACACAGAAATCCAAAGTATTTTCCTGAACCTGAATTGTTCAAACCTGTAAGTTATCTCTTTCATTATACACTGTGCTTTGATTTTAACTTCTCTTATGCCAGGAGTATGAATGTGTAAATTAACTAGGCCTGTAATATTAAGCAGTCATGTTCTCTTGTAACTAAGAACCAAGTTGGCTACAAAGTACAGATTAGACTTTCAGTACAGATAGTACAGCAGTGACAAATCAAATAAAAAAGATTTTGAAATAATCTTCACCAACTTTAAAATAAATTTTTATCTGAAACCAGCAGGTCATGTTAAAGTAAATATGCCTGGTTTTGATAGAAGATTTATTTCATATTCTTCAGGCAGTTAGCTCCTGTTGTTGGTTTCTAAGGAATAGAAGAAAATAAAAAATAAGGCAAATTAAAACTGTGCTTTGCTATTTCTTAAAAGTGGAGAGTTACCAGGCTGAATGGAATCATAAGAGGTCTTTTAGTCTATTCTCTGCCTTTAGATAAAACTGTCAAAAATGGCATCCAGATGTATCCATTCTGCAGCCCAAGTTTTTTCCAACAGGCAAGACTGTCAGTGTCTCTTATTATTAAATTTATTACCAAGGGCAATTTTATGTCAGAGCCTGAGACCTTCTTACAAACATTTCTTCCTCTTCTGAGGTCAGTTCTGTGGTTGATTTACATTATCATCTACATTTACCACTTAACAGAATTCTTTTGAAACCCTTTTATTTACTAATTCACATTACAAAAACACAACTATGTCTGATATGAATAACAGGTTGGAAAAAATTACCAACAATGTTGTAACTTTATATGCGAGGATTAGCTGTGCAAGGTCATTTTTAGCCTAGAGAAATTAAGTTAAGCTTATTTATATTAGGCTGATTTGGGGAAAAAAATGCTTTCTTCCCACAGGAACGTTGGAAAAAGGCAAAGTTAGAGAAGTATGCTTTCTTGGACTACTTCTTGGCATTTGGAAGCGGGAAGTACCAGTGTCCTGGAAGGTCAGTGAGACAGCTGGGCCACATTTATCCAGGAGTCTGTAGAAAGATGATGGCTCCAAGTGAGAAAGCTTTGGCTTAATCTCTTTTCTTTATTATCAAACTACAGGGAAATTCAAGGGACCTCATTTTATTTGGCTGGCCAGTTGTATTGTGTGATGTCTTTGTGGAATGTGTAAAGTGACTTCTGAATGGAGCTCTCATGAGAACAAAATATTACAGTTGCAATGCCAGTTGAAAGCAGGGTTTATGTTTCAAATGTTCAGCTTTCATCTAAGGATAATTGGTAGTGGTTTGAGTTCTACCTTTTTAAAAAATAAAGGCAGAAGTATAATATTTCTTTAATTACAGTGTCATCATGGACATTTGCTGGGGTTACAAAACATCTTTAGCTTGGAGCATAGCAGCAGTTTACTGAACAGTTTTTGTTTATTGGGGTAGTTTGGTTCCTGTCATGCAGGCCTCTTCAGTGGCACGCTCTGCATCATCTCATAAAAGTTATTTTATGTTTGTTTATTCAAGCAGAAACTTTTTCGAACATCTCACCTGTGCCAGGCCCTCTGCTAAGTATAAGGAATCAAGCACTGAGGAAGGTGAACTTCATAAACTCACATTCCACGTTAAATAAGACCCATTTCTTCACTGCTGATTCTGTTGGCACCTGTTTGTAGCAAAATCTCACTCAGTGAATGTAAGAAAGTCTTACATCAGAAAAATTGCATTTTTAATTTAAGAAGTCAGTCATCCTCACTGTTTGAACAGCAATGTCAGTCCATATTTGCAATTGTGACTTACTCCACAGCATCCACTCTACTCCTCTGTTGTTTGACGTTTTATTTTTTATACTATCAGCATGCTTAGTAACTTATACCTCACCAAAATGCGTTTAATGAGCCTTATCCAACCATGGAAATCTTATCTTCCTTTTTAGAAGTTACACTAGAAGCCTAAGTGTAAGCAAATTGATGCCTCGTGTTTCCCTGGAGACAACTGTTTGTCCTGGGGTAGGTAGTTGACCTGAACTGGCCAATCAGACTGAAAGGAGAGATTTTCTTCCATCGTTAGGAGAAAGGTCCCCTTTGTCCTTTTCCATTGGAGGAAAACAAGAAAACTTATAATCATAGTTGTTACTAGAAGGAAATTCAAGTGGAACAGCCTCATGATGGGGTGGAGTCAGTAGACTACAGAATGGAGATATGGAAACCTGGTCCGTGTAATCTCACTCTGTCACTGAATCATCAATTTAAGGAGCTCATCTGCTTCCTCTTATGTGAGATAATAAATGTTACCTTTATAAATAATATTATATTATTACATTATAGATAACTACATATATGATGTATATTAAATACCATACATAATGTTCATTATTTTTAAGGCTTCTTGAGTTGAAGGTTTCATTATTTAGAGCTGAAAGCATTCTGATATACCCAAGAAAACACTATAAAGATGAACATTTTAACCGAGTGTCAGATACTTTAGGGACCCATTTAACAAATAAAATCAAGAATAACAACAAAACCCCATCATGCTCATCCTGCCTTCCATATAACTTTTACTTTAGAGAAGCATGTCTTAAACCAGGAGCGCATTTATTGTTTTTGTCACCTACTAAGTATCAATGTTTTAAGAGTAGCTCCTGTAAAAACAGTAGATGTTATTTTGTCAGATCCCTTTATATACATTCCTAATTGCAACTAAAGAGTTTATAATAACCATTTTTTAAATTGAGCTAGGGTTATTTTAAACCAAGGACTAAAATGCTTTGCAATGAAGCATGAAGAAATGGGCCAATGGTCAAGGATTAATAAATGACTATTATTTCTAGTCATCATAAGGGCCATTATGAAAGTACTGTGATATCTTTTGAGGCTGACAGACATTTGCTTGAGCTTGATAATAATGGGTAGAATTGAGGGGACAATGACATTTCAGCTCCATCAGTACTATCTTATTTATACAGAAACTACACATTTTTTAATGCATTGAGCTCTAACTAAACACAAGGCAGTTCCCTGGGTATTTCAGAAAACTCCCACAAGAGTAAGACTTGTTCTCAGCCCTCAGAAGACAAATACCTTGGCAAAGGCAAGGAGAATATTGAGTTCATAAATAACTGCAAGGAATACAGGATGGGAATGCCCAAGCACCACACTGTGGAGATTAAGAGAGAGGGTGTACCTGGTCAGGGTGATTGTAGAAGATTCCCTGGGGAATGTAGTATTTGAAGGGGTAGATGAACTTCCAGACTAAGGAAACAGAATGAGCAAAAGGTCATTAAGTGCAGGGGCACATGGTTTAAGGGTTTACGTTTTTACTGTTATTGGGACCAGATTACAAGTAGTGGCAGGAAGAAAGCCTGAAAAGGCACATTGGCTCAACTGGGAAGGTCCTTGAACCCTTGGTTTAGGAGTGGTACACGGTTCACCAGGTGCTGGTGGAGTATTAAAAGGTTTTGTTTAGAATGGATTAGAGTGAGGCACGACTTAGGTTATATGTTCATGCTAATATTGCCTATGAGAGACATGGAGTGCCAGATTTGGACAACAATTTGAAATGGGGATCAGGTGAGAGGAAGGATTTGAGGAAGACTGTGGCTTAGAGTCTGGTAACTAGGATAGAAGGTGGAAACAGAAATCAGGAACAGGAACAAGTGTGGGGACAAGATGTTTTCCTTTGGAAACTTTTTGAGTCTAAGTTAAGGCAAAATATATATCATATAACCAAAATCTATAGGTTGAATATGAATGTTGAGTGAATTAAAAAAAAACCTCCTTCCTCTAGTTTTCTATTGTCTATTTTTAAAAGTCCTTTATTTTTTTTGTTGTTGTTGTTATTTTAAACAGCTAGCCCATGAAGTATTTTGTTTGAAAGACAGATGAAGCAGAAAATTGTTCAGGAAAGTGAAAGACTTCATTTGGACAATGTATATAGCAAGATAGATCTTTGCACTAGAAATTTAATCTCACAAACCCTTTATATAATCCCCAGAAAACTGCATACATTCTAAGTTTGTGTTCCAGGAGCCAATTAATTTTCTCATGTACCAAATACTCAGTGAGTCAGATAAATAGTGTGGCCTGCAAAGGGGCTGATGATCAAAGTTTGTTATGAACACATAGTTGTGTAGCCTCTCACCTGGCACCCCTTGGCATTCAGGCCTCTGAAGCAGTGTGAGAGCCCCTCTACCAGTGAACACAGAAGGCTCTGCTGAATTTACTAAATAAGTACTCGGAGCTGCCTTCAGCTGCCGACCAAAAATCAGGATGGAAGAACTGTAGTTCCCTCCAAATAGTGGACATTCTGAAAATACATGTGGAGGAGGAACCCCCTGCAAGCACTTCCTTGTCGTAAGGAAGCTCCTGAGTTCACCAGGAAGGGAACTCTTCCCAATAATTCTGTTGCTGGAGAAGTCCGGTGGTTTTTCAGAAAAACAAATAGGAGAAAGTAGCCTGAGCTATGAGAGTTCTTCAGCAATGGTAGCAGCCAGAATGAAGAGTTGCATTATAGAGGAGATCCTCCTCTTAAACTATGAATTTAAATGGAGGAATAGGATAGGGGATTTCCAGTGTTGAGTGGTTGTTTCTGAGAGTTGAGGATTTTAGCACAAAGGGACATGCTTGTGATACCACCCTCCCACCCCCAAGCCAGTAGCCTTAAATTCCCTTGGTTTCCATCCCTGAAAGAGGATGTCTGACTGGCTGTATCATTGTGCTGATTGATGTGCTAATTTCCAGTGTGAAACAATAGCCCTGATCTTTGGCAAGATACCATGCTTACAAAGGTATGTTTGGATAAGAAGAGGGTGTAATAAGAATAAGGCTGCAGTACTTGAGACCTGGAAATGAAGCATGGATTCCTCAGGAATACAAACTGTGATTTCTGCTGTTTTGTGTGTGTTTGGGTCCTTCATGTATCCTAGGGCAATGCTAGGCCACAGAGTCATGAACTTGTCTTGAATTATTAATGAAAATCACACAGCTATGGGAAAATTAATTCAAACATAGATCCAGCTGATAGCAGCTTAGTAGTTGTATTATTCAACATAACAAATATCTCTCGGACACCTATGATTATTATTTCATTCTATAAATATTTGCCCAGTGTATGCTGTATGCCAGGATAGGGCTCTAGGAGTTACCTTGGAAAACAAAAAAAAGCAGTTAAGTCCCTTCCCTCAAGGAGCTTATGGTCTAACTAAAGTCACTTTAATAAGATGATTCAAAGATAGGTGACATTCCTGAATTGCTTGTAATGTGGTTCAGGAGATGAGACTTAGCAACATGAGTCTACTTAACAGCATAAGATGACACATGAGAAATGCCAGATGACTCACCTACATACCAACTGCCATAGGAAGTCAGATGTAAGATGTGGGCATTAGAAGAGATTTTATGGACTAGGTGGGAGTAATCAATAAACAGCATAGAGGAAAGCACACATTCCTGAGGGACGGTGGTATCAAACTTTGACGTAGAAAAATGTTAAGTGCTCATAGGAACGTAATGTTCCCATATGTGAGGCAATTATTGTATTTGGAGTTTGTGAAGCTCTGAGCATGGTTGTTTCTATGTTTAGCTTATAGATAATGTAATTTAATAATTGTGCCATATTCTGTAAAATATGCACAGTCTTGTATTTGAGAAGTATTATAAGTAGCTTTTCTCTTTTATACCTAGAAATAGCTGGTTGCATTTAAGGAGTGAGCAAACTCAAATCCCTATGTATTTTATGAGAAGTTGCAAATTCAGTTTATTCTGAGGAATTTGTTACATAAATAAATGCATAAACAAAAACTATCTGCTCAACTCCAGTTGTTAAATAGAATTGAATGAACTGTATTTACTTGGGTAATTGTTTCCTGACATTTTCACTGGAGTGTGCACATGTCCTGAAGGGCATATAAAAAGTGTTAGGAATGAGGGTGGGAAGGGTGGCTGTGGTTAATTCCAAAACGGAGCGAAGCTGCCAGAATCCTTTATTCATAGTTAGCCACACTTCTG